CTAAATATCTAAAAATAAAATTCAGTGAATACTAATAAGGAATATATTTATTTAAATTTAAATTATTTTATTTAAATAGCCTAAACAATTGTTTTATCATGAAAGAGCCTCTGTTTTAAGAAAATGTATATCCTCTTATTTGAAAAAAAATTTCTTTAGTGTAAAGAAATACGTATATTAATATAAATAAATATTTTTGTAATAACTACACCGAATAAATATTTTTTTATTTTTTAGATATTTTTTTATTTAGTATACACAATTAGAAAACTTGATTGAATTGAAAAGTATTTCATATAAAAAAAAGCTATAATATTTTTTCCGTGTAAAATGATTAAGAAAGGGAACGTAAGAGAATTTGCCAAAAGAATTGGAAGTGCGCATCTTTTTTTGATACGTTCGGAGGGAATCGACCTCTTTACGTAAAAGCCGCGACATTATAGCCTTGTCTCTTCGACGTTTCATAGTCTCGATAGCAAGGGAGTTCGAAATATAATTCACAGTTCGACAAAAACTTATAGAGGTATGTGAATTAGAGATATTGGGGGAAAACGAGATGGAGGAAGCGAGATGGCTGGAATTTTATTGGATGTTCTTGCATGCAGATTGCAATCTGTTATACTAGAATGTGCTGAATTTTGGAGGTATGTGAGTTATCTATCGCGTGCGTCGATATTCCAAAAAATGTACCAAAAACTTTCAAATATTTTCGGCGTTAGTGGAAGAATAGGAGAAAAACAGCTGCTACACGTTACATGTCATTGGTACATTTTCGTTCTAATTTGCGTGGGTTCGCTTCGGGAAATTCCTGGATTTTTCGCTGGAAATACGAAAACTTTCAACAATTAACCATATAATATATCAATTAATTAACAATCGGTGAGTTTTCCAGAGAAAAACTTCACGTTTTACCACACGTGGAAAACTGATTATAGGGAATTAATTGTAAAAATATTATCAGACGCGACAAGTTATTATATAGAATATATGCATTGAAAGTAAAAATATAAATAATATAAATATTTTTCGGTAAGTATTAATAATATATTTACTTATACTAACATATATACTTTACATTAAGGAAAATATTTTTTTCTAACAAAAAAAATTATACTCAATGTATTATATATTGTATTTATTTTGTTAAGTGCAAAATTATAACATAGATGTAATTAATGTCTGATGTTGACTGGATATTTTTTGATTAAAATTATGATTTATCATCAAAGCAACTGTTTATTCTATTTCAATAAAGAATTTAGGTTCAAATAAATATGTTATCAATATCTACCAAATAAATATTTTTATTTTTTAGATATTTTTCTCTCAATATACCAATCTATGAGATTCATTTGAAAAATAATATTCTTGAAACTGGATTTCAAGAACTTCTTTTTTACAGAGACAATTCTGTCGATGGATCCGGTGACATCACTAGTTGGTCAGCGATAATCTGGAGTCGATTGACGCGCGTTCTGCGGACTCATGCCTTCAAAGTTGACGTCGATCATGTATTCAGCACAGAGTCGGCTACCAATAATACATCCGAGTCGGATCCGGATAGTAATATCGTCCAAGGTGAGTTACAACTTAAACTTGCTGATAAGTCCATTAAGAACATAGTCGTAGTCAGTTAACAGTCTCATGCTTCTCACGTTGTAATCCTCGGTACATCATATTACATGCTAATTGCAACATAAAATGAGTTTTATCTTATTAAAGGAGAAATAAAATAAATGAGAGAAGATCTATTTTCTCTTCGTCCTTCCTTTAGAAGGCTTCTAAGAGAGAATAAAAGTCGTAAAAGGTTAATCTTTACACAGAGAGTAAATTTTTCTCATATAAATTCTTTTCTATCTTATCATGTCAATAATTTACCTTACTGACGAACAAAAATAATTTTTAATAATAGTACATATAGTAAGCATAGTAAGTAATACTAGATTTCAGCTCTTAAAATATAAATAGCACAAATGCTGACAAGTAACCCTCATTAAGGGCTGATTGTTCCAACTTCTTAGTAACCTATCTAACAGTTAAATCATGAGTATATCTTTGTTCAATTTGAAGAAAAAACGAGACAGTGATATTAAGTGATGCACTAACAAGGGAACACCGCGAACCCGAATTCTTTGATTTTGATACACTTTTGTGAGTATGTAGAATAAATCAATACATGAATAACGGTATATTCCATTTGTGTCCTATCGCTATTTAAAAATATGATTTACACTCTTAAAATAAAAAGAACGATTCCATTTTATTATTTTTAAATTAAAGGAGATAGAAAAAAATTTTTCGAATAAAAGCTTAATGGTAAGTTAAGTGCTGTATTGACATAAGCATGAATAAAAAAATACCTATAAAAATTTTTTTACAATAAAAAAGATATTTTTTTATCTATGCTTATGCCAATTTAAAACATTTTTTTCTATTTCCTTTAATTTAAAAGTAATACACGAAAAAGTAGAGTCATCTTTTTTACTTTGAGAGTGTAAATCATACCTTTAAATAGCGATAGAACACTAATGAAATATAAATGAGAGTGTAAATCATACTTTTAAATAGCGATAGGACACTAATGAAATATACCGTTATTCATGTACTGATTTACTCTACATATTCACAAAAGTATATCAAAATCAGAGTTCGGGTTCGCGGTGTTCCCTTGTTAGTGTCTAAAGTCGACGTAGAGATCGAGAGCGCATAGATATAAAAACATTTTTATAGGTATTTTTTTATTTATGCTTATGTCAATTTACAGCACTTAACTTACCATTAAACTTTTATTGGAAAAATTTTTTTCTGTCTTCTTTAATTTAAAAGTAATACACAAAAAAGTGGATTGTCTTTTTTACTTTAAGAGTGTTAAGACCCTTGCACAATGCCAGGCTACAGGCAATAAGAATAGGCATTAGCCAATAGGAACAGGGAATAAAAATAATTGACCAATCCGAATTCCTATTCCCTGTTCCTATTGCCTGTTGCCTGGTATTATACAAGGACCTTAAATCATATTTTTAAATAGCGATAGGGCACAAATGGAATATATCGTTATTCATGTAATAATTTACTGTACATACTTATAAAAGTATATCAAAATCAAAGAGTTCCCCGTTCACAGTGTTCCCTTGTTAGTGTCTAAAGTCGACGTAAAGACCGAGAGCGCGCAGGTATAAAAAAATTTTTTAAAAATATCTAACAAATAAAAATATATTCGGGTATCAATAATATATTTACTTATATTAATACAAGATATTTTTTAAATGAGAAAATATATATATTTTTTTAAAAAAACAAACCTTAATTTTTCATGAAAGCAATTATTTTATTTAAATAAAAGAATTTAAATTTAAATAAATATGTTATCAATATCCATCAAATAAATATTATTTAATTTTTAGATTTAAGTATAGATATATTATCAATACTCACCGAATAAATTTTAAACATTTTTTCTCTCAGTATGAATGGACAGATTAAATCAAGATAGAATGTTGAAAGATATATTCCTCGATTACAAAATTTATAGTAATTTTTATTATAAAATTCTTCTGTGTGCAAGTACTTAAGACCGTTTGAAAAAAGAAAACTAAAAAATTATTAATTATTATCGGTTATTACTAATTAACTAAATAAATAAACTATTAATTAAGAACGAGTGAATGAAACACCATCGAATTCGTGTTTCAGGTCGAAAACGTCGTCGATACCGCCGCCGACATCAGTTTTTGCCAATGATGATGATGGGTCTACTATTTATGGGTTCGATCGTGATACCGATGGGCTTCCAATTCCTCGCTGTGTTGGGCGGCAAGGCCTTGATTCTCGCCAAAATGGCTCTCATACTGTCTAGCATACAAGGTCTGAAAAAGATCGCGACCAGCGGCGTTAATTATGGACTATACCACACTCCGGCTTGGCATGACAGGAGTCATGAGGTGTTCCCTGAGGAAGAAGAACACATCCCGTTATATGTGCCTTCGCACCCTTAACTCTTCCTCAAGTTACGCTTTCGGAGAGACACGTACTACGAGGTTTCCGTGCGACGTGTAAACCCAGATAGCATAAATATCTGAAGGACGTTTTAAAGACGTCGAAAATATTTTATTTGTGTTTTAGATGTCTTTTAAATATATCTAAGACGTAATTTAAGTCCGTGTTAGTAGTCTGAAATTTGTATCACGTGAGATACTCTCCGGTAAAAACCAAATAACATTTGATATTAAACAAGTGATAATTTGCCAAAGTTTCTTTATTTTAATCATATGATGTACGTGATATTATATTTGTAATCATAATTCGATTGAAAAACTCACGTCTAACTTTAAAGTTCACTAATAGTCGTTACTCTCGAAACTTGCCTCAGATAAGATATACTCAGGTTTAAATTTAGAGTTACCCAATGAAAAATTTTTCATATATAATTATATATTATTATGTATCAAATTTGTCCATTCATGTTTATACATTCTACTTATATATATAATTATATATAATTATATATAATTATGTATAATTATATATATAAATTCATATATAATTTTACATAATTACACATAAATTTATATGTAATTATATATATTGTTATACATAATTGTGTATAATTATATATAATTTTATATGATTATATATAATTATACATAATTATGTATGGACAAATTTCATACAAAATTTTGCATGAAAAATTTTTCATCGGGTAGATATGAATTTTTCAGTACAAGTCGCATATATATTATATATATATGCAGTACAGTATAATTTCGCATATATATTATATGATTTAAAAAAGTAAAAAACTCAAATTATTAAGTAAAAAACTCAAATCTGATTCTAAATTCAGATTTAAATATCTCACGTGGGACAAAAATTTTAAATAACAAGTATTAATACGGGTCTAAGTCCCATATTAATTGTCGTTACTTGAAACTTGTCTCACATGTGAAATATACAGATTTGAATTTAGAGTTAGATCTAAATTTTTTATATGAACTGTATAATATATGCGACATTATGTTCTTACGAAAAGACATTACATTACATTATATATAATGTAATATTAAATTAAATTTAACTAAAAAACTAACATTTAACTCTAAATTCAAATCTGAGTGTTTGATCCGATGCAAATTTCAAGTCTGTATTAATAGTTGAAATTTGTTTCAATAAGATAACCAGATTTCCCAAATTCGAAATACTTCATAAATGTGTGGAGTGGAGGGAGGGGAGAGAAGTCAAAAACTGCTTGGCTAGAAAATTGTATAGCAACTTTTACTAAAAAATTGTCTTTGTGCATTAATGCGAATTTTAAACATTCGTAACCTGTCATTGCTGAAGTAACCTCTTGTCACCGATTTGAAGGAATAATCCCGATGGTACTTTGCATCTCCGCGGTGCTTCGTTATCGTTATTCGCCAAGTGAAATATAAATTACGACCGCCTCTAAAAACGAGCGAAAGAAGCGTTATTAAGCATCCGCTGATCACAGTGAATACATATCCGCGGGTGTCGCATGAGTATTCGGCTGATAAGGAAACGCTCTCTCTCTCTCTCTCTCTGAGTTATTCACAGTAGCGTTCCTGAATTTCATTAAAACGCGTAGTTGCGGTTTCCTCTCTCTCTCTCTCTCTCTCTCTCTCTCTCTCCTTCGAGGCGTTTCGCCCATCGCTGTTCACATTTCGCGAGTTGTTTGATTATGTAAAGCCTCTCTCTCTCTCTCTCTCTCTCTCTCTCTCTCTCTCTCTCTCTCCTCTCTCTCTCCTGATCCTCGTTTAATGTCACAACTCGTGATATATGTCTCGCTCTCTACGTATATCATACAGCGAATAATATAATACAAAGTATGCGTACACGAACCGCCACCGCTGAGCTTCAAAGGTCTCACTCGACTTGATGAAACAGATTTCTTCTTCCCTTCCTTTTTTCTCCCCCGTTTGCGAACTTTACGTTAACACAGGTGTGCGCCTGGCTAGTGAGATGATCAATGTGAACAAAGTTGGCGCCGTAACTTCTACGGTCAGGCTCTTTTTCGCATGCCTGCCCTTTGCCAAAGATAACGGGGCGGCACGCGCAAAAAATGACCGCACAAGTTTTCGTACCAACTTCTCTATATCGAATATTTTCGCGACGGTCCAATAACGGTTTAAAAAATTAATTCCCGAAATTCCTCGAACCGGGATAAAGCACAAAGCACCCACGTGGTCGGAACCGTCGCTGATTCTGATAATACGTTTTTATATAATCGCAAAAAGATGTTCTACCGATAACACTAAAATAAATCGTCTATTATAAAGGTTATTGTAAAATAGTCGTGTACTATCACAATCAGGTGACATGTTGTTTTCCCTCCCATTCTACACATCGAAATGAGGGAGAATATCCCTCGCGTGACGTAAAATAGCTCGGATATTTTCAAAGTTGAGCTATTTTTGCCAGGCAGTCACGGGGGAATTATTTTCAGCCCTCGCACCTATTATAACGTCAGTTGTTTATTGTTTGCGGCATTAGTTTCGCGCAGAGGGAATCAGGAGCAATGAAGAATAAGGAATATTTGATGGGCATTATGTAAGGGGCACGTGCACGTTGATCTCTGGCGCTTCTCAGTAGAGAAGGAGCGAATTTAGGTCGCCGACACTCACCTGTCAATTTGCGGCCGGTGGCGGAATTGCAAATCGCCAGTTATATTATTGATGGACTCATGAATGGACTGTAACTATTTATAGCGTTTTCCGCACTATGACCACCGTGCTAATCGTAAACATGGGAATTCAGTCGCGCATTCTATCTCGTCGTGACGGCTGGTCCTCGAGGTTACACGTCACTACGATCCGTCAATCACGGTAAACGCTATCGTTCCGTTATACAGATCGCGCAGTGTAACTGAATTTTATTTCCTCGTAAAATGCGACGCGCGACGTATCGAGTGGCGGTTACGTACGGCCATCACATTGAAGATCATTTGTCACGTTGATTCGACGGACTCTAAAGGCCTTTGCACGTCAAAAAGTCTTAACCGTAACCGTAATTTCTTAAATTTCCAACACATACAATCAGATAGAGCAACGCAATTGAATATTCATATACAGCCTTACGGTTACGAATTTTCACTTGCGTTACTCTATCTGATTGTGCGTGTTGGAAACTTACGGAATTACGGTTACGGTTAAGACTTTCTGACGTGCAAAGGCCTTAACGGCTATAGCGGGGAGCACACATTCTTGCATATGGCGATCGTTTGATATATGTACCAGGTTGTTATTGGGCAAGTTTACATCAAATATTTAATGTATTAAATGCTATATTATTCATATAGCACATATATCCAAAATATCTTCCAGAAATATCCAGATATCTCTACGACGTCTCTAGAATTGTATTTTGGACATTTACACTGTACAGATATTTAGTACATATATTAAATATTTGGGTAATTATTTGGAACAACTATCCTCACCTCCAATTTTGATGAAAATAGGCTCATTAGACACGTTTTTGCATAAAATAAAAGAATCTAGCCGAAAAAAATATCACTCTGCCTCGCAAACCCTAACAGCACAGATATCCAGGGAACGTCCTGAGTACATTCTGAGAACGTCCCAATATCCTCAGAATATCCCTGGAACGTTCTCAGAAGTTTTTGTGCTGTCTGGGAAGTGAAATATTTAACATTTAAAGTTAGTCACATTCGAAGTTAAAGAATCTGTTATCTGAACGTAATGCGAATTAAGCTTGTATTGAGATGCGTTCAACAACGCACTCAATTATTTTCTGTTATAATTATTTTTATATGAATTTTTGTTTTGATTAAAGCAGAGAATTTACATATATAATTTAAAATCTTCACCTTATTAAATGGTTCATCGTGCCTATTTCTGAAAAGAAATAATGTAATTTAAGATTGGTAAATAAATATAAATAAAATGATATAAAATAAATATTTACTGCTAAATTCTCTGCTTTAATCAAAAACAAAAATTCATATAAAACCTAAATTATAATAGAAAATAATTGAGTGCGGTGTTGAACGTATCTCAGTACACTGATGTTCATTAATTGAGTCCTTTTTTGGTGTAGAATAGTGCAGATGAGCGTACCATCTCCAGGTGCGTTCATCTACATTTGTCTACATTCAAAGGACTTAATTAATCCATTAAGGCCCAAGAGAAAACCGCTAAGGATAGGCTTTCAAAAGCCATCTAAATTAGGGCAAAACGTCGAAATTTATTAAAAAGTAAAAAAAAATTTCTGTTTAATTTCAAAATTCAATATGGCGAACCAATATGTCGGCCTGAAAATTTGAAATTTTGACCTATTTGAGTGAAAATCCGTATAGGGGGGGTTTCGGGTTCGCTGAGTATGAATATGCACTTATTTTTTCAAAATTTTTCAAAACGTACTTTCATTGAAATAAATCAAAATTAAAAATTTTTGGCCGCCATATTGATTTTTAAGGTCAAAAAACCATTTTTTTTCTACAGTCTATTAAAGTATGATGTTTTGCCCCAAAACAAACACCTTCGAAAGGTAGCTTATAATTTGGTTGGATTTTTCGTCAAAAAACAAAACTGTCGAACTTTTGCATTTTTGGGCGGCCATATTGGATCCGAATTTTGAAAAAATAAGTGCATATTCATACTCTGCGAACCCCAAACCTTCTCTATACGGATTTTCACTCAAATAGGTCAAAATTTCAAATTTTCGGACCGATATATTGGTCCGCCATCTTGAATTTTGAAATCCAACAGAAATTTTTTTCCACTTTTTAACAAATTTCGACGTTTTGCCCTAATTTAGATGGTTTTTGAAAGCCTATCCTTAGCGGTTTTCTCTTGGGCCTTAATGGGTTAATGAATACCAGTGTACAAGCCTAATTCGCATTACGTCCAGATGACAGATTCCTTAACCTCGGATATGACTAACTTTAACGCTAAATATCTCGCTTCGCGAGACAGAGCGACATTCTTTTCAACCAGATTCTTTTATTTTATGCAAAAACGCGTCGAACAAGCCTATTTTCATCAAAATCGGAGGTGAGAAGAGTTACTCTAAATAATTACCAATGTTTGATGTAAATTAAACCAATATAATGACAACTAGGTACATGTACCAAACGATCGCCTATAAAGACATAATGCACAACGGATAAGAGAATTGACCAATCAGAGTCCTTTATTTTCATCGTGGCAACAAAGTCACTCTGATCAGAGTTTGGCTATAAGGGAATAACTTTTGATTGGTTCGCTATGTTTCGTCAAATCTCACACAATATTCAATCACAGTATGTTTATGGTAGTAAGTTAGGTTAGGTTAAAAAAAGATAGATTGAAAATATGTCTCTCTTTTTTACAGGATTTTGACGAAACCGCGCGTTATGATCAAACTCTGATTAGAGTGACTCTACGTAGCAGTAGAAATGAGAACTCTGGTTAGTCAATTTTTGTTATGCGTTATGCATTATGCCTTTATACAAGGATGTGTGTTCCCCGCTTATCACATATGAAATATCATAACGTAGCACATGCATAGCGTAAGATCGTATGGACCAATGAGCATCGAATATTAAATATTGAGTATCAATATGGCGACTTAATGCTCGATGCTCATTGGTCCATACGAATTTATGCTATGCACTTGTAGCTATGTCATTGCATGTGCGATAGTCCTAACAAGCGAAATAAGGTACTAATGTCCGGACATGTATCTAATCCTGGACACTCTCTTGTGTTTTGGTCTCTAGATACAAATATTTAAACTTTTGACATAAAATATATGTACAAATATACTCTATGTTGAAAGTTTAAATATTCATATTTAAAGACCAAAACAATAAGAATGTCCAGGATTAGATATGTGTCCAGGAATTGGTATCTATGGCAGTGTTATTGTAATAAATTATCGCGACTACTCACTCGCGAGTGTCGTATCCGATGATATGACGAGACACGCGTTTTACTTTTATTTCTCTCTTCTGTAGAGACATGTTTACACAATGCCCGCTATTTACATCTAAATAGGTACCGTCAAGTAGGATGACTCTCTGTCTTCGGCAGGGTGCCTCGCTTCTATCGCTTGTCGAAAAATCAGAACTGAGATATCGTTCAGTATTTCTTTCTTCATCTACTTTACGTTTCTTCGATTGCATTGATGATTTGTGATAACAGGTGATTTGTCACATGAAATCTCTCATGTATTTCTTGTGTATTTCTATGCATAAAATTAAAAATGGACTCAGAATTTCTCTATTAGCCGCAGTTTTCCGTAATGGCCATCTGAGACTTAATCAGGGTTGCCTAACGACTAGTTAGTAAAAAAGTTAAGCTATACCCAAAAAAAATGTTCTATACATAAGCAGAGAATTCCTCTAAGCGTCTCCTTTAAGTAAAAAATTTTATATGAAGTGTACTTTTCTTTAACACATTATTCATCTATAAAAGAGAGGACGCGTAAACTATAATCAAGAGTAAATTCCTCAATAAGAAATTGTACAGTCAAAATTCTCTTAAAAGAAGAGAATATGTAAAATATTAGCGGCACGCACTTATTGAAAAGAGATACGATACTATTTGGAGATGTGCGTTTGTTTGCTCGTTTGCTGTTTCCTGTGTCTATGACGCGAACGAGGTAGTAACGCAGCGAATCGTAAGAAAGAAGTTGAGAAGCTTTTTTGTAGTTATTGCACGATTTTGAGAAAATTCTATACAGAATGCAGCGAATTCGCCATTATGTACCATAAAATAAAACAACTCCTGAAAGAAGCATGATAGCTTAGTGGTTAGAGCAGTCGCCCGGCGAAAGACCCGGGTTTGAGTTTCGGCCTTTTTATAGCAAATCGCGTTTTGGATATTTTTTTTTCTGTGCAACGAAAAGAAACGCAGATTCCGAACGCACGGCGTCCCCTGATGCCACCTAGTATGCGCCCTTCTTCTGATTTAGGTTAGATCAGATATAAGGCCGTATATAAATAGAAAATCCTCTAAAATTAAATGGATCCCGCTAAATAATAGAATCTTTTTTTTGGGTGTAGAAAATAAGAAATTCTTAACATAATTAAGAGTAATTCTAAATAAGTCGACTTTTAACTTAAACTAGTTATTTTAAAACAAATTAATTTTAACTTATTAACTTTTTTATATAAATTAAAATAATTCACCAAAATAGTAAAATCATTGTGGACTGTTTACAATGTAAAATATAAAGAATTAAAAATATTGCCAGCATAATTTTTTCGTTTTTGAGTGTCAGTGTTGTTTTCTTCTATAGAAATCTGAGCTCAAAACACGATCGGTATTTTCTTATAAAAGATTATTTTTTCGTTAGTTTACATAAATTAAATTTATGATTAGAAAGTAAATCACGTAAAAAACATGTATTGCTTTACATAATTAACTTTTAAGTTTAATAAGTTAATGTAATTTCAACGTTAAATTAAATTAGTTTTTATTTGTACAACATTTAACTTAACTAAGTTAATTTTATAACTTTTTATCTTTGGACTTAACTTACTTTAATAAATATAAATTAATTTAAAAAAATATTAACTTACTCAACACCTGGTTTAATATATTATATATATAAAACATTCCATACAATTTATACAATTTGATTTAATTGTAAATTTTCTTATATTGAAGTATTATTAATATTAAGTATCTTCTATAAAAAATTCCTCTATTTAAGCTATATATTTGTTTATAAAAATTCATTAAGATTTTTTTCTTTTGTGCAATTTTTTTCCAATTAGGCACAATATATAATAGAAATTGATATATTTTTTATTTTTAAAAGAGACATATACAATAAGCTAAATATAGCAAAAAAATCATTAGTTTTTAAATTTTAAATTAGATAAGCAATGCTTGTATATGCAGAAAAAATCCAATTTTTTTAAATTAAAAGTTACATTACTAAAAAACTCTAGGTGATACAAAAAATCTCTATTTGTATTTTTATAATTCAGCGTAAAAAATATATGAATATATAATTGATCAATGTGATAAGAAAAAAATTTTTGTGGACACTAGTGTAATTTAGGGCTATGTTCATATGCAATCAAAATTAATTTAGTAAAGTGTATATGTATATATATATATATATATATATATATATATATATATATATATATATATATATATATATATA